GCCTTAAGTGTTCAACTAGACCTAAAAATGAACCACTTAGATGTACCTACAGCTTTCCTTAATGGTAATATAGATGAATGTGTATATTTAGAAGCAGCGCCCTTTTGCCGATTTAGAAAATAGTGAATGGATGTGGAAGTTAAGCTTCTATGTCGATTTGACAAATCATATAAGAACAAATTTGTATGAAAAAATGCTCGAAAGTAGTGCATGATGTGTATAGTTCATCTCCTGATGCCGTCAACTTGGTTGAAACTCGTGGCGTGCGACAGCAATTCTTGTTTTGTACTCTTGATACTGTTGTACTGGGGCTCATCCCGCTCTAAGAGCGATCCTGTCAATGTGAAGCAATTCGGGATAAATTTCATTTCACAAAACAATTATCACAATTGGGTTAAAAGTGAAAAAGTTATTCAAGATCAAAATTTGTAAACGTTTCCAGGCTTCTTTTTCATGCACCTGAGTGTAGAATCACCACTCATTACAATTCCAATTACGTTTTATTAAATTACTCATGAACTGAATATCTAATGGTGTACTGAAAAAAATTTCAGGGATTTCAAATCATTTTATATAGTAGACAATGGAAGTCCGAACTAGTGAAATTCATCATGAAACATTGTCAATCACCTTCAAACATATGTTTATGAATTTGCCATCTTGTACCACGATGTTCATGAACATTTATCCCCGATGATAACAGTAAAATTTGTAATTGTCATATGCGAGATCACATTTCAATTCAAGTGCCAGTTTTACTTGTTAAATTAGCCATTTTGGAAAAAATCACTTTCCGACCCTCTAGGAAACTGTTACATCGGTCAAAATTATAATTGCAAATATCTATTCTTTTTTATTATAAAGAGATGAATATTATAATGGTGTTATATTATGGAGGGTAAATATACGGGGAACCATCTCATTTGGGATGAAGCTTGAAAAAATATCCAACATTCAGTACAAAACCCTCCAGAATAACACTAGCATAGGCAATTTGTTTAAAGCTCATTGTAAAACTTGATACCTTTATAATAAATCGAATTTATTATTTCATTAGTTTCAGAATGACTGAATATCTTGTAGAATGGTTGTGTTGATCACTATTGATATTAAAGATCATATTTGACCAAATGAATGAAGTTACATAATTTGAATTAATGTAAGGATGACGATTCCAATAGATTTTTTGGTTTATATAAAAGTTAACTGTAGGTTTCTCATACTTCAACTCGAATATACACCTCATAATTTTGTTCTGGTTTTTTAATTGGAAAACAGATTTGTTGCCATTCCCCATACTGATAATGGCTCTGTATTTTGGATATAGTGGATACCACATAGGAGGTAGATACTTTTATTCAGAACTATTTAAGATAAACAATCTTACGGTATACACATGTAACTCCAACGGTATAGGCAGCGCACGCCAAGGTGAGAACAATAATTATTGTTCTCTCAGAGAACAATAATTTTCACGACTTACTCAATAATTAGTGTTATATTACAACCAAAATTATACAAAACTCTTGTTAATTGTAGTCTATTTGTTATTGTGATGTATAAGATGTATTTATGTAAAGTTTCATCTAAATCCGTTCATTCGTTCAGGCGTGAAAGTGCCACAAACATACATACATACATTCATCCATCCTGACAAACTTTCACATTTATAATACAATATAGACTATGAACCAGAAAACTAATCATTCTCACCTCATTTTTTAGATGAAGAAGGTATCAAACTGTTCGCCTTCCATGGGAAGATAAACGAAGAAATGATCGGAAGAGAAGCAGGGACATTTTCTAGAGACATACTCAAACCAAAAAATGGAAGATGGACATTTGTTGATACAGCCACCAAATTGAAAGTGGGCGATATAATTTATTATTGGACATACGTAGAATATTCTACAGATGGATCAAATAAGTTGGGATTCCCAAAAGATGACCAGATGTTTACAGTTACAGGTAGGTCAGCGACATTCATATCTCATGGAAATTTTCCTCCGAGTCAAAATTAATATGCAAATTTTAATGGCACCATATTATTACATAAATTAATTATTCTAATAAATCACCATGAATAATAATTACATTCTGAAATATAGTAGTACAACAACATTTTCCATTGTCCATGTACCTATTTGAACCTAATTTCATAAGGAGAATTATAATTGAAATTTTTTATACTTTCGGACTATTCATATTCACTAAATTATTCGTTGTTCAAATATGTTTTCAACTTTGTAACCATATGTTGTCTGTTATGNTTGTGTTGCGCTTTCCATCTACCACTCAGGGTATTCAATTATATGTCATTAACTGTTTTATCTATATACATGAATTTCGATTGATTAATTTACAGAATTGATGAACATTGGGAATGTTTTGATTGATTTTTTAATGTATTGAGATTGGAATTCTTTCTTATGTTAACTGGCAGAAGATTAAATAATTTTGGACCGTGATAGAAAATTCATCTCTGTGGGTGACTTTTATTAAATGTTGGTATATTTATGTGAAAACTAGTAACGAAACTTGTTTGTTTTTCTTTGTTTGTTGATTGAAGTGTGAGTTTGTTTATGTACACCCAAGTTAAATATTGGTGGATATAGAATTCTCTCGTTTTCAGTAACTGCGTTTCCTTATACAGCCATTCGGTAGAGTATAGTTTAGGTTTTTTGAATACTATTTTCAAAATTGTATTTTCAGATATTTGAAAGGTATTGAGAGAATTGTTAAATGTACCACCCCAGGCAGCAATACAGTATCTCATTACAGATTCTGCTAAAGACTGGTATATGATGATCAAATTTTTGTATTCCATAATATTTCTCAATTCATAGATATTCCAGGTTGACAATTCTGTAATAGGGTGAATGTAATAAACTTAGTTTTTTACACATTCAGACTCAGAAGGTTGTGATCAAGCCATATCTGGATATCTTTCAGTCCCTTTTCTGATTTTTTAAATGCCTCCTTCCAATTACTATCAGTGAATATGAGTGCTGTATCGGCCACATGTGTTATGAGATGACCGCCAAAATAATTGATAGGACAGATACTTTTGATGTGAATAAGAAATAGTATGGGACATGAAACTGTTCTCTGTGGTACTTCTGTTTTTACTTTCATTGCTTCACTCAGGCTATTATCAACTTCGACCTTCTCTGTCCTATGTGATAGATAGTCTTTCAAAATATTGTATGCTGGGCCACGTATACCATTCCCATGTAATTTTTTTGATAGCATATCGTGATCAACGATGTTGAATGCCTTAGCTAGGTCTAGGAATATAGCTAAACATGTTTCTGATCTATCCAATGCTCCAATTATTTTCTGTACAAAATCTAGTACTGCTTTTTCGGTATTGATGTTGCTATTGAAATCAAACTGTTAGTATTTTTTTTATTGAGGTAATTTACAAGTCTACTTTTTAAGGATTGTAAATATTCTAGCAAAATTATTGATAATTGATATTGGTCTATATTTCCAATGTCATCACGCTCACCTGTTTTATATATGGGGGTAACGATTGACACTATAAATTGGTGTGGTAGTTCACCATTTTTATAGATCAAATTCATCATGTGAGTTAATGGAGATATAACGAATAAATGAATATCCTTCATGAGTTTCGAGGAAATACCATCAGGACCAGATGAACAGTTGGTTGAAACACTTCTGATATGCACTTTTTGGTCCTTGAGCTCTCTCAGCGATTCGGTTTTTATCTCTTCACTTGCAGCAAAACGCCGTCCTTTCAAAAGTCTATTTGTTTTTGGGTTCCAAATCTGGTAAATACGATGACTGAGGCATGATCATGGTGTTGTCTTTGGCCAAAATGTTACAAACCAGCAATGATGAGTAAGCAGGTGCATTATGGTGATGCATAAGCAATTAATTGCTTTTCCATAATAACTTCAAGAAAATAATCCTTATTGACCGTACGACTATGTGGCAAGACCTCCGGAGCAAAACCTTGGTATTCGATCGAACTTGGCGTGTTATTTTTGGCCCTGGCTTTACTGGAACCCTCCATTGGAAAGATTGGACTTCGGTTTCGATGTAACAACCTTATACCCATGATTTATCAGCAGTTATGAATCTTTCAAGCAAATCTGGATCGCTATCGACCTTGTTCAACAATTCCTAGGCGATTCTATGCGACGGTTTTGTTGGTCAAAATTCAGCAATTTTGGAACTTCGCTGCCACACGCTTCATGTCCAAAATTTACGAAAAAATTGTATGACATGAGCCAAATGATATGTCAACATCCTTAGCAACTTATCTAATAGTGATTTCATAAACTACACCTTACGATTTGATCTCCACTAACTTTTTTTGAAAAATATATCATGACATGTTTCGCTAACACAGTAGCTTCTTCAACAGTGATTTGAATACTACAAGGTGCTTCTTACGCTAATATTTATATACCACAGATAACTATAATTGGGACTAACTCCATCAAATCACCTGAACCTCTACAATTTTTATATACATGAGGTACCCCTTCAATTATGATTAGCTGAAGTATATTACCTCACTTCTACATAAAAAATAATACTTCCTCGGTTTTTTAAGAAAACAAGTTCAATAATGGTGATCTATTCAAATCCAGTTGGTCATTCATGAGAATGTTGGAAGTTTATTAATTTCGATCATGAGATCATAAGATCAGATCTATTTTTTTATTCAAAAAATGGATATGAACATTATTTCCTACGAAATCTCGTCTTTCAGATCAACAGAAAATTCAAACTCAGTTAAGTCAAACTTAGTTAGTTAAGAAAAACGAGAGTTTCTTCGCCGGTATGTTGCAAAGCCAAATCTAGCCCTATGACTGAAATGCCTGAGGTTGAATGTTGAATAATTGGTGTTTATATTCTCGTTTATTCTTCTATCAGTGCATTGAAAACTTCAGAGGAAGACAGAAATCGGATGGGATGGTTGAATCGATCGGATAATATGTCTTTTTGGAATCATTCATTTCTTTTCCTTATCCAAGTGAACCTATGAGCAAATAACAATACGAAAAAAAAAACGGATCAAATATCTGAGTTTTGTATTGAAAGGCCAGTCTGATCCGATTACTGGTATTTTAGGTGGTAACAAGGCTTCTCCTTTCTCGAATCTGAATACTGAAGGTATTGACTAAGTGAAGGGAAATACTTTTTCATTGAAAATTTCTACTCGTGGATCAAAATACTCATCTACCGGTATATAAAGTGGTTTTCGTTTCATGATGCCTTCCACACCAACACACTTCTAGAACATCCGTTTTCCTGCATCAATTTTTCTGTTTGATGCTGGAATATTCTGTTTTATTTCCTTTTTTTTGTCTATTTCTGTGTGCTCGCTTTGATTATGGTGCTGTGTGCTCGCTTCGGTATTATCGAACTGAGTATTATTCGTTCTTATAAAAATATTTGATTGAATTTCTGATGAAAACTTTCAAAAACTCAAAGTTTTCACATGGAAATATATCAGTTGCACTTCAACGAATCAATATTCAGTTAGGACGGAGTAACATGAAGTCCTAAATATGGTATTGAATAGAACTCATAATCTAAAAAATATTCATTTCCATATTTGTCAATCAGCTGATGACCTGAAATCCCTTTTATTTATTTTCCAGGATTATGAATTTGTTATTTATGCTAACCGGTCTGAAACACTCTTCATCCGAAATAGAATTCTGAGAATAAAGCCTGAGTTAACTGATGATGTTTTTGGCCCAGAATCCGTTTATAAATCCTATGATTTTGGAGAAAAGTGAGTACTTTATCTTCAATTCTATTCTCATAAATTATTCACTGTTTATCAATTTTCAACAGCGACGCACACTTAGGCAAGAAGATTGTTATATTTGCATTGGATCAAAAACTATTGTTTGTGTGGTAGAATTTACCCATACTTGATGAAAATCCCACGTGTTGCGTTTTTATGAACTGTTCAGTGAACATATGATTATGTAACTTCTATAATAATATTTTTGAATTGAAGTGGTTATATTTTTAGGAGTGACAAACTTTTTGGGGAAGATAGTTTTTAGCTTTCTACTACTCCATTTTGATATAAAAAAAATGGAGGAATCTTCCAAAGAAAAGAAGAAAGCAATCACTTTCAAAAGAAGTAACTCTATACATGGATGTGTAAAACATCCAAAGAAGTAACTTTCATATACAATCTGGAAGAAAAAGCCATCCTGAAACCGCTACTATCATATAAACATTGAATTACACGAAAGAAAAATTATTTTGAAACAAATACTTTTATATGAACACTGATATACAAAGAACACTGTTCTCTACTCAGTTTGTATTCCGAACATTCGTTTTGGAATCAAAATCAGATATCATTCACAGGATTTCTACACAGTATACTAAATGAAAATTAAAAAATGTCACTTACATGGAACACATCCTGTCATCTGGATAGTATTATAAGAAAAAACACAACACATATTCATTCATAAAATATGATTTTTTTGTGTCACCAAAATTTTTTATCAATAATAATTGAAATCAGAATGATCGTATTTACATGTAAAGGAGTTTTGGAAGCCTACTTATTATTTTCAATAGTTAAAAATATTTTATATGATGTAGCATGAAATTTTCCATTATTTTTGAGTAATAATTAATATATTTCATCGGAATATTCATTAATAATCACCATATATTTTTTCTTATGGTTTTCAATAATTCTCACTTGGAGGACATGCAATATGAATACGATCATATCATCTTCTGAAAGTATTCATCAACACTGAATTGGAAAGATACATAATTCATACAACACAGAAGCGTTCATACATATTATACGGTAATGAATATTTTTAAACAAAATCTCGACACATTCGTCGCTACCAACGTACCTAACCATTATTTACCCTAAGAGTATTCCTTCTGCCGTTGACTCATTAATCTCAATACGTTGTTCACAATTTCTCTGCTTTGTCCACTAAGAACCTTGTTTTTCAATCTACTGTTATAATGCATTTCCAAAGAAAACAAATAACTCAAAGTTCACTACACAAAATAATTTTCCACTCATTGTACTAACACGATGTTCACTAAACGAGTTCCTCGATGTAAATGAGCTCTCACCTCACTCGACCAATCTACTGCGCATCCAATATTCAGAGACACAGCTAGATTTGCCGAAATGTAATTATACTTGAACATTCTCAAATCTGTAGAGCAAGGAGGGTGAGTGTAGACTCACAGCACTTAGGCAACATGTGACCCATTGTACATCCTCCCGAGGAGTCGCCTACTAGGTCATCGTCCATCCTGTCCTTTTCAGGAAGGTGAACAGGTCACTAGGAGACATCTCCTTCATATTGGCAGGTGTAGGCCAAGACTCGCCGAACAAACACTCTCTTTGACATTATTTAGGTGTCTCACGGTGGCCACCGCGAAAGTTTTGGAAGGTGCAGCGATATTAATGTCGTTGCGCGGCTTCTTCAACCTTCTTGGGGTTCCCTCCGTGGAGGTGCACAAGTGAGGGAGCTTTCCTGCAGGGGCAGCCGGCTCCTTGCCTTTGTTCAAGGCAGAGCTCTTGGCGCCCGCCTCAGGAAGTGCCCTTGCTGTTGGAGGTGATCTGCTATGTCCAGCCTCATTCCAAGCGGTAGATTGGGGTGGACATTTCTGTTCATCCCCAGCCACCGCCTTAGATTGAGGTGAGCACTTCTGTCCAGCCTACAGATTGGTTTTTGTTTCTGTTGTTTCATTCATGTGTGTTCCCACGAGTAGCAAGGTAAGAGTTGGTCACCTCTGGCAGAGCCCCGCATTACCAGATGTAGGGTGATTACAATGAAGTTTCGCCCAGTTCCCCAAGGGGATCTTTCGTGACCGCATATCACCCTGCGGTCATTCAGCTATCGGCACGATTCCTTACATCTTAGCTTGGGTAGGCTGGTCCACGATAGGATGTTTTGCAAAAGCTTTTGGGGGTTTTAGTTCTCCTCACCCTACTTATTACTGCTTCTGACCAGAAATCCGGCCACCCCATCCGTAAGGACACATTGACTTCCCGGACAGGGCCTCCAGTCGCCTGGGGCCTATAACACAAATCTTACAATTGTAACAAGTCTACAAGTTACGAGTTATTCGCTTATAGCTACAAGTAGGTACCCTAATTCTTCGTAGCATAAGAGAATTTCATATACTTGTAGCTACAAGTAAAATATTCTACACTTGTATATGTTGTTCCTACAAGACAATTTATTTATTTACCTGCTGTTTTCGGTAACGCGATTCGTGGTGTAACATGTCTTAACGTGTTTTCGTGTTAGTGGTGAAGTGCAAGGACTGCAAGTGAAATAATATTTGTAGCTATGGCTAGCAAACAAGTAATATTTGAGAGGAAAATGCAGTTTTTACAAAAAGTTAAAGAAAATTAAAAAATTCTATTCGGTGCAAATGTTGCAAAAAGTGTTTGTTTAATGCCTTTAGATAAAGAGTGGACATATGCCAGAGACACACTATGGCAAAATATGAAGAAAATTACAATGGTACGTAAGAGCGTAGTGTACTAGTTTTGTTACTCTTATGAGTTAGTTGAGCTTATGCGAGGTGTTTCAATATTAATAGGCAAGTGCATATTGTTGGAATCAAAATATTATGTTCAAGCTTAGTAAACGTACGTGTCAATTCTCAATAATTAAAATTTTTTCAGTTGCTGGGAATGAACTAGAATTATAGGACCTGATTCATAATATTCTATCCAAAATATGCTTTTTGTTTTAAGGGAAAAGTGGATAATGCCGGAAAAACGGGTACAGGCGGTCATGGGAAATTGAACAATGTCGATAATATGGTGCTAGATATATTAGGAAAAGAGTCCTCAGTGATTTTAGGTCTTGGGGTACCAGCATCACTGGACGAAGTGGTCGATGCAGAACCGCTACCTCAAGACAGCACAACAACCGAACAGCCAAGAATATTAACGCAGGACCCGGGCGTACCCTCAACCAGCCGCATAGGTAAAGTTTATAAAACATTATTAGTGATGGCTTTTTTGCAGTTTGGTTTGTGAGAAACTACTAATTGAAATGTTTTATGTATTTTTCTTTATTAAACAAACACTAACTAATTATTTATCTAATAGTTGACATCTGCCAATTAGCACCATACAGTTTACATTTTTTAGGAAAACAGAAGCGTAGCATGACACGTCAAGAAGAAGTTGCAGACAAGAAAAAAGTAAAACTTGACTTGCAAATTGAACACCTGAAACTGCAAAATCACAAGACCAAACTAGAGATTTTACAGTTGGAAACTGCACTAAACCTTCCAAGATCCAAATTTACACAAAGTTTTGCAAGAGACTACATTTCTTATGGAGAGGACCAGCGTACCACATATTCAAATATTTAGTTTCGTGAAAAACAATCATATTCTCTTACATATTTAATTAATTAAAGTTGATTTTTCTTCTTCACGCTAATTATTTATCCTAAAATAATCTATAAACTGTTGAACTCTAGCTCGAGCTTGCTAGTGGAGGTGCTTCGTTATCTCTGAGGTTGTTTTCGTCACCTTGATCATCATCATCACCATTTAATACCATATTATCATCTTCATCAATTTTTGTAATATTGCACAATGTTGCACAACATTTGAAAATATTTGCTGCGAAGGCTGGATCCACTCGTAGGTGGTTCAAACATGGAAATTTTTCCTTCAATACGCCAAAAGCGTTTTCAATAATGCGTCGAGTCCGTTTATGAGCTCTGTTGAATGCGGTCTGCGCTGCGTTCATCGGATCGTCATAGGTTGGTGGAATTAACCATTCACGCAAAGGATAAGCGGAATCTCTATTTGCATGAGGTCTCCAACCGTTCTCCATTCTAAGAAACAGAGAACTGTTACGGAGTACCGCGCGTCGTGCACACTTCCGGGCCAATTTGCATTAATATAATAAAACCTTAAGTCAGGCTCACATACAGCCATGCAGTTGATGGGATGCTTCCCATGGCGATCGACGTAAACAGGTTCGTTGTTTGTGGAGGCATCGATATTCATGAGGATTCCATCTACAGCTCCACAAACTTCAGGAAATCCTGCCAAATTATGAAAACGGGCCATCGAACTAATACATCAAATTTTATTTCGTTTACGACAGCAGTAACTTCGTGAACACATCTGCATACGGTCATTTTTGATTCCATGCATATCACATACTCCATGGAATTGCCCTCCGTTTCCAAACCAATGCAAAGCAATAAGCAGTTTCTGTAATGGTGACCAAGCCATACCCTCGAATCGTTATATTCGCTATGGCTGGACCTATATCTTGAAGAAGACTTTGACAGTGTTGTCGACTAAGTCTCAACCTTTCGCCAAAGTCCCCGTCTGTCAGTATGACAAAGTTACTTCTCTCCCGATAGCGATATACTGCACGACCATTTTCGTTTTCACTATCCGAATCTTTGACCACATATCGACAGTCGAATTATAGATATACGCTCACGATGAAAGACTTCACTACACTAGTACGCTCAATCTACTTATCAATCAAGATAGGTAAAAAATTGTCTAGAATTGTCGACAATTGTAGAGAAAGTCCCGTAATTACCAGTGCCCCACTAGTAACTACAAGTTACTTTATGTTACAGAATATCTACACTTGTATAATTTATTCACACACTTGTTAGACTTGTAGTGGTTGTGTTATAGGCCCCTGGCCGGTCTCCTATCCGTCACCTGAGAACGCGCCCGATAGGTAGCCCAACCCACGGGTACTTTAACTTTAACATATTTCTGGAATTCCTAACATATTTGTTTCTCCTATTCTAGTTGTACTGCCATTCCTGGATCTCAAGACTGTCAAATTAGACCAGACGCAGGTTTCATTTTGCCACCTGTGATTTCATCACAAATCAACACCCGTGGAAAATTCTCATTCAAATATGGAAAAATTGAAATAAGAGCTAAGCTTCCACAAGGGGACTGGATATATCCAGGTAATAATGCTTTCAGTAATTCTGTAATAAAATAAGTATCAACTACAGCTTTTCCTGTGGTCAATAATTTTATAACTCAGAAGTGATATTCCAACTGACTATTGAGATTATATTATGATATCAATTCACTGATACCAGATAATAGGGGTTATCAGATTTCAGGTGAATTTCAAGGTTTTTTTCAGAACTCTACCTCAATTCTGTGAATGAAGAATACGGATCTGGTTATGACTCAGGACAAATAAGAGTCGCGTTTACTGAAGGAAATGAGGGATCTGATAATGTTTTACGGGGCGGAGTTATTCTAGGATCAAGCACCTCCGCTAGGAGCTTTGGAATGAATTCAATTGAGAAAAGTAAACGTTGGAGCAATGAGTTCCATAGATTTGCTGTAACTTGGAAACCAGGTGACATTTCGATTGATTTTCATCATCTACATCTCTACGAAATATGACTACAATTAAAGGATCAAAAAAGAATATTTCCAGGGACAGACAAATCTTTTCGAAATCATAGATTTGAAATAATGAATCGAATATTATGTTTCGAAATAGTTTGGTCGAGAATTGATATTGAATGTGATGATGAAAATCGAATAGTTTTTGTAACCATTCAATATATAGCAGAAATTGAATGCAATTATTCGCAATAACATTCCCACCTTATATATTTCAACTTGGTTTCTTTTAAAAGATTTTTCATCAAAAATATCAGGCTGTTTGGGTTCATACCAAGTTGTATATGAATTATGGTGAGAATAATTTCACAAAATGAATTCATTCAACACCCAAGAAATTAAAGATTACTATTATCAAATATATTTTTGAAAAAATCATTCCATTCTATCTAGTAGGAAGTTGGGATGTTTAATGAATCCATTTTTATAAATTCCACTACATTATCTATCACTTGGTATGAACCCAAACAACCTCAGGATCTGAGAACAATAAAAAAAGGTGAAAATATATAGGGTGTTCTATTTCAAAAACACTCAATCACCCATTCTTTGAAAATCCTGTATATTGATGGTGATTTTCGAACATGGGTTTCATTCTTCAACTTTTGAAACATTTTTTCCAACTGAAATATGGAAGCAGCTAGTTTCTAACTGATACATCGAAGCATCAGTTTACTATGAAAGTAAACTTTTTGTGACAGAATACTAATTATTGAAGAAGAAAATAAATTATATGTAGGTAATATAAGTTTTGTCCATTTCAGAAAATGTTGCACTCTCTACATTGATGCTGTTCAATTCAAAGTTTGTGCCTCTTTTCAGCTTTATTCTATATGATGTCGGTCGGTAGCCAGGCGGTTCAACGTGGGTGCTTTGTTTACTCATTTGAATTGACTGCCGTGTTGGTCGGTGGTTCAAGCCCTAGTCTGAACGATCTGTTTTCATTTGTTATCGTCCAACCCGTGTTAGGAATCACACGTTAAAAGGCAAGACCTCATTAATCCTTAGCTCGCACAAGTTTCGACTTCTGAGGGCTGCGGTGTGCGACAGCTGGCTAACGGAAAAACAGACAGACAGACAGATGTCGTTAAGCGATTTTAGGACAATTGTTGATGGTTTAAAACGTATTGGAAATAACAAAAAGCTCGAAAAGTTGGATTTTAACGATCGACAGAAATTGTCACCTTTCGAAGTCTGTTCTTCTTTACTTTTGTGCAATCAGAACGATCTTTTTTTGGGTCGGATCGTCACGTGATGAAAATTGAATCCTCTACAATAACAGGAGACGTTCAGTGCAATGGATGGACACCGATAAACCTCCCAAGCACTTTTCAAAGGCGAAAATCCAACAAACAAGACCGTGGCTACTGTATAGTGGTCAGCGGCTGTTGCGATTCACTACAAATTTCTGAAACCAGGCCAAACCATCACCACAAAGTCCTATTGTGAGAAAGTTGACGAAACTCGACAACCTGATTACTTACTGAAGAAGCTTAAACCATTCTCTACGATTAGCAGCTTTACTACAAGAAACAGTTCAGTTCTAGTCATCCCCAAACACAAATCTTCCATCTTCATCCGCTGCTTCTCATATAATGCACCCAAATATTATAATCAACTACCCTGCGAATTTCGATCATACACCATCGTAAACTTTAAACTGAAGACTCATTTATCTCATTAGCCTCTTGTCCGTTCCCGACCTTGGCATTTCTAAAATGAATTTTGTAAAGTAAAGCAATAAATAAAATTTTTTGATATTGTTAACTCGACTTGTGTTCGTATTATTTATTTATAGTTTCTCCCAGTTTGAGTTGAAAAACAGCCTTGGCTGATACTCCGCCTATTCACCATATACTGGAAGTTTTTTCTTTGTTTTTGTTATTGTTCCTGTAAACTGTTTTATTTTATTTTTGTCTATTCCATTTGTATTTTTATGGTTGATAAAGACGTATTATTATTATTAACATTATTATCATCATTTTTTTTTCACCGTAGTGTGCGCTGGTCAGGCCCTATCCCCCAAAGCCCCGACACATTCGGGAGGGCGCGCCAGCATTCACACACCGTGGGGTAAGTGATCATTGGATCCGAAAATCATGTGCCCTGAGCAAGCGCAGTGAGCCAAGAATGACAGCCTTCTGAATCTGCGCGGCTAAGATTTCTGCCTTAGTGCGGCAAGCACGTATGATTTTAAGATTCGAGAGTAGAGAGGACATCATTCCACCAAGGACTCCAATAATCAGAACACCCATCTTGATATAGTGATCTGGATAGAGTCTGCGGAGTTTGAAGAGAAAATCTCGATATTTAATCCGTTATTCCTCCTCTTTTCTGACGATATTCGTCTCGCCAGCAGCTGAAAACTCCAATTTCGCATGAGCTCATCTTGCATTTACTCAGATGCCTTGCGATACCCGACATAATAGTGAGATGCATTGAACAACTGATACCACTTTGGCGAGCTCGCTTTATCATAACATCTGGTCAAGCAAGAGTCTAAACAAGGTGGGTCACTTTCAGAAGGGGTGTATATCAGGGACATTCCCTCCGTCTCCTTCTTTTCTACATCTCACTATTGCCATTATCCGTTGCCTGCCGGTATTGACGAGACAACGCTCGTCCGCACGATTCAGAAATCACCGTGCGAAACAGGAACGAAATGAACGTCGAAGTTCTGCCTCATCCACCGTACACCCCAGACCTCCCGCCAACCGACTATCATATATTCAAGCACTTCGATAACTCTCACCGGTAGAACCTTCACCAGGCGAAAATGGCCTTTGTCGACTCCATCAAATCCCGAGCAATCAATTTTTATGCTGATGGAATCAATCGACTTGTGTTACGTTGGCAAAAGTGCACTGATTCAAATGGCGCTTAGTTAGATCAAACTGACTAAGAACTCATTGAGATATCACAGTTTAAAGTAGACCCATAAAAATGGATAAAACATTTGAAACAAACTATATGTGAAGAAACCGCTGAAATTCTGAATAACTAACAGGAATGTGTTGTAATACCAAAAAAATCTGTAATTATTATATTTCAAATAACATTTGTGTTTTTCCACCCAACAGATAATATCGTATTGAGTGTCGATGGAAAGGTATATGGTTCTATATATCCTCCAACTGGTGGCTTTTCATCATTGGGACAAGAGTTGAGCAATAAAAATTCCGAACGGTGGAAAACGGGTTCTGTATTGGCTCCTTTTGACAAAGAGGTAACGTATCAGCCCATTTTGGAAAGATATAAGTATGAAAGAAACGGTGATAATATAATACGTATTGAGTAGGTCTGAAAAATTCTTGCTCCCATGAAGACAATGTACCATAAGATGGTTTATCCGAAACAGTTCTTATAAAAGTCTGCGAAAGCATATATTTACCTCTTATGTGGTAGCCACTATTTGCAAAATACTAAGCCATAAATACAATTGATTAGGATAACTTTTTTTGCAATGCACATTTTGGAATATTTGTAAAATTCTTAAATAAATTGATACAGTTATCGTTTAAAGTACTTAATATAGATACACTTTGTCTTTTACACTAAGTAATTTGAACGAATTGTTTGAAAGTTATCACGATAGGGCAGTAAGCCTATACGCGTCGCGTCTACTGTAATATGACGGGGTAAGATGCGCGGGGTAGAGGGGCGGTCTAAGCAATGAAACTCCAGCGCCAAGAACGCGACCCAAACGCGGTTAGACGCTTGAGGCAGACGTTGTTGACGGTTGTGTTTGTTTTGAGAAGTTTTTTCAAATGTAACAGAAATTGATTCTTATGTAGTGCAGTTGGCGTATTTTTCATTCACTGTTTTTTTTAAGTGAAAACATCAAGTTTCGTGACAGACCATTTCAAACAAATAGTTACAATATTTTTATCAACCCAAAACTTTAGGTTTCCAACTTCAAAACTGACATAATTCAATCTTTGAACTCTAATTTTTCTCCCTTGGGGGTGGAAAATCCTGATTCTTTCTTGATGCTCATTCACGCTAGACAAACAACCTACCTGCATATTTCAAGGTTCTAGGTTCAGTAGCTTCAGCTGTACGTTAATATAAGAATGTCAGTCAATCAATAGGTACCCACTTATACTATGTGGGCGAAGCTGCGGGCAACAGCTAGTGATTTATATGTTTGCTTAAANTGTGTGTGTGTGTGTGTGTGGTTTGAATTTTTTGGTTTCGGGAGAACCGATTAGCCAGACTGTTTCAGAAAAAAAAATTTGAAAGTTACATTGATTAGAAGCTCCAAACATACATTTTTCAACCTCGTTTTTTGCTTTTTCCGATTTCGTTTCTGTTTATTTTTGTATTTCTTTTTTCTTTATTATCTTTTTGCATTTTCATTTATATTTATTTTTGTTTTTCTTTTTAAATACGTGTTTTTTTTACAGTTTTTTTTATTTTTATTTCATGCATTTATTTTCCTTAAGAATTTTGTTTTTTTTATTATTCTTTTATATTGTTTCAGATAGATTTTTTCCCTTTTTAAATCCATTTGTACAATGACATCCCTATGTTATGGTAAAGCATTGAGATAAGCTAGCTCATTACACTGGCCACTAGCTAAAGAGCGCTGTTACCCCGATTTCCGCCCTCTATCTCAAAAACTATTCAACGCATAGAAAATATTGGGAAACAAAAGTTGAAGGAAATTCAATCCTCTACAATATTTATATCAAATACAAATAGCGAATGATCCATAGGAAACGAGACATTTACAAAAAGTGTGCATAAAATCGATTATTGTGTCCTTAGATTTTAATAGTCATATATATCCTAACATTTATAGGATTTGAGACAACTTGAAGAATGACAATATACATGTTTATATGACTTTTTAGATGGGTATCTCAAAGTCCGAGTATACTTAACTAATTCTCACTAAGATGACTGGACCATGAAATCTAGTGGAATCAACGATTGCATTTATATCCGTCATAATATAACATCTATAGATGTTAACACGATTGAATTTATCTTGGATAAAATGTCGTGTATGCTCACTTTTCTCCATCAACAGAAACAGAAATCGTGTAATGAAGTTATACTCTTCTACTTATATCTCAATAAAGTATATACTTGAAGTATAGTAAATGTCAATCAATTTTTCATTACATCTGCTGTATTTATATTTTGCAAATATTTTCAGATGTTTATCACTCTGGGTGTGGGGGTTGGTGGCTTCAACATCGAAGATAGAACAGATGGAAGTAAGCCTTGGAAGAATGGGGAGAGACTGAGTATGAAAAAGTTTTACAAAGCCGCTCCCAATTGGAAAACTACCTGGAATGATAACAGTTTGATGTCTATAGATCATGTAAAAGTTTGGGCATTATAACATTATTTCCATCTTGCCATTTTTTATATGAAAAAACAATTTCAGAAAGCAATAAATTGAATTGATATCAAATCTTATTCTTTTTTTTTCAAGTTCCAGGCTGCTCGGCTCACCAAACGAATTCATGAGTTGTTTTTCTCACGAGAAACTTCAGCTGAAACCACCGAAGGTTTTTCTTCAGAAGGAAATATATTTGTACTCCAAATTCATCAAAATACATGTATATGGGTAATATTTGAAATGAGGAAGTTACCGAAGAGTTACCTTTTTGAGTTTTATTCAAATGCAGCACTATAAAATTTTGAGCAAACTTTTATCTTATGATTTATGTCATAAAAATTGCTATTAAACTGGAGTGTCATTACAAATTGTGAATAGTCGGAAGATATTCAAAACAATTATCAATAAATTGGTGGAATTTTATATGTAACAAAATGAATATAAAACGTTTTGATCGATGAGTTTTGTATAGTAATCTGAAACACATTCAGAGATTTCACTTAAAGTATATTATGTATGTATGAACTTCTTTGCAAGAGTATATTGTTGTAAATCATGCCCTAAGGAAATAACGCCGGCCGCCATTGGTAGCCATAAACTAACTGTTACCTAGCTAAGAGCGCGCGAATGTACGATGCTCGCTGCCGCTCTAGATGTGCGAGTATAATGCTATCGACTTCGATGGAATTCCGTCGAATTTCCTACCGCATTCGATTACGATATATAAACACTTGTCATGAGCATATCGACATAGTCAAGGGGAAGTTAAAGTGCGGTACGCAAAGCGATCTAGTAAGGCGATAGACATTCGGATAATAGTTGAAGTTTTAATTGAAGTGTTTGTTGTATTTAAAGTGAAATAAAGTTAAGATTGATTATTGTTCAGTGTAGTTGTCAATTATTGATAAACCCACGGGGAAAAACATAACATTTGGTGTCAGAAGTGGCATAAATTGGTTCCTCTTTTTCTCCCAACATGACGCGACATATTACACACCATCCATGTTGTTAACCGGTGGGGAACTGAAGCTTTCAATAGATGGATTGTGTGGCAGTCCTTTCGATGAATCTCAAGAGCTACATCTTTCAGAGTATGTGAATGACCTGAAGGAGAGACTGAAAATTGTACACGAATTTGCCAGGACCAAATTACAGTTTTCCAGGATGAACATGATATTTGATAAAAAGTAGCTGCCAGGGAGCTTCAAGAAGGGCAATGCAATGTAGCTCTACCAACCCCAACGTTGGAAAGGTTTGTGTTGCAATTTGCAGACACCATGGCAAGGACCCTATTTGGTAACCAAAAAGATAAACGATCTGGTGTACAGAATCTAATTGTCACCCAAAAGCAAGCCTGAAGTTGTCCACAAAGAGAGGCTGATCCCTTACATGGTCGTGATCTCCCATCCTGGAATGTTGTTTGGGGCGAACAACCTCAGGAAAGGGGGTAGTGTTGTAAATTATGCCCTTAAGGAAATAATGCCGGCCGCCTATGGTAGCCATAAACCAGTTGTGACGTAGGTAAGAGCGCGAGAATAATGCTACCGACTTTGATGGAATTCCGGCGAATTTTTTACCGCATTCGATTACGATATATAACCGCTAGCTACGAGCATATCGACATAGTCAAGTTGAAGTTACAGAGCGATACGTTGAAAAAAATTAAAATCAAAAATCAAAATAATTTATTCGCACCCGCTACATAGCAGCCTTCCTTAGGATAGATTTACTTGTCAAATACATTGAACAAAATATAATAAAACAAAAAATAATTAAATGTCACAAGCACTAATAGTTCTGAAGAACAGACAAACATGTGTAACTCTCAGACAAGTAAATCAAAAATCATCATTCAGGAATTCAGTGATGGAGTAATAGGCTTTTGCACACAGAAATGTTTTCAATTCTTTTTTAAATTTTTCATGGTCTAGTTTTTTGAGTTATTGTGGAAGTTTATTAAATATAACTATACCTGCGTAGTGCGGAGATCTTTCAAATGTCTTCAAATTATGCTTTGTAACTGAAAGTGCATCCGTGATCTAGTAAATATTTGTTGTATTTAAAGTGAAATGAAGTTAGGTTTGATTTATTGTTCAGTCTAGTCAATTATTGGACAACCCACGGGGAACAACGTAACTATATTTCCAAAATGTCCATTAAAAATGCTAGATCTTAAATACCACTAATATACACTAATACTGCTCTTTAAACTTTTTAGTTTTTTATTTGTATAGTGAAGATAATAAAGTTCACAGTTCTTGATTGATTTCGCCTTTGCAAATGTGTAGATCCCTGCTAATAAATTCATTCCGAATTAACTGATAGTTTGTCAACTTCATGACATTTTAACATATTTCATTCCTCATATTTTATTTCTCAATCATCAACGAAAGTCAAAACAAAAATGCCAACATGGAAATAACCTGGTTTTGATCGATTTTTTCAAATCCAACAATTTTGACTTATGAAGATGATCACTTGGTGATCGAAACACGTGTCGAAGTGTTAAAATAGCGATTTGGTGTTAGGGTAAAACTCCAGTAATAAATTTTGACTCAGAATGAATGGGTGTAGTTTTGATTTGTACACTAGCTGTATTTTAATCCGCCCTTCTCCTTTCTGAATTATCTTCATTCATCTGTAGCATACAATGAGAAATATTCATAAGACAGACTCACTCTTTGTTGTGAGATTTTTGCAGAAGGTGCCAATTCTCCAGTTTCTTTATACTCATCCAGTCGTGTTTTCTGAAAATATATTTTGTGGTTCCATACAGTGAACGAATATGAAAAATGATCCACTCATGTTGTTTGACAGAAAGGTAAATAGGTCTGAAGTGAGAGGGCTCATTCCACACTCATCTGCAACCCGCGAGAAATTATTCTGGCTGATACTTATTCAAACTCGACCAAATGAATCCAACTGCCCAACCAAGTTGATTACTCAGTTTGGTGAGTGATCTTTCAGTTCAGCTGGCAAAAGTGTGATTATTGCCAAATACTGAAAACTTGAGGGAGTCACTTCCTGGCAACAACCCACGGCTTCCTCAAATTATTAACAAGATCAAGAAATGAAGAACTGATGTGATCTTGCTCCTTATCCGATTATACAGGGAGGACAATTGAAATATTATGCAGACTCAGTTTTGGATTTTTTGACTACTCCATGATCCATATGGGGTTCCATGTGGAACTAGAGACAGGAGACCCCTTCATTGCCATGAAAAATTTTTTACGATGAAAGGGCACCTGATATCTCAAAGTAAGTGAGTGGGTTCGGCTGAAATACACACACATCAGAATTAGACGTCATTTTGGAGAACTTCTACCTCCACCCATGAAACCTCAACCCCTCATCTGGCAGGAATGTTCAAACGCTCACCGTTGAAGAACGAGATGCAGAGGTTTCTGCCACTTCAAAAGAAATACAACAGATCTGAAGATTCTTTCACAGTGCATGACAATATTTCAAATGATCATTTTCAAGTTGCTAAAACACTAATTTGTAGATAATTTTCCTCAAGGGCTACTGTGGAGGTTCAAAATATGTTTTTCTTCCCCAATATTGTAACTATTTTTTGGTGCAGCTCAGAAGCTACCCTATTCGTCCATGTCATCCAATGTCTCCTAGACAAAATTTTGTCTTCGAATTGCATGAAATATTTCTCTGTCCCTTTGATGAATTGCTTGCTGTCATTCAAATACATGATCTCATATAAGTAGCCCTGTATTTTCTCTAGGGTGCTTTTTGCTCTGTTGAAGCAGCATTTTCATTCTCAAACAGTCCGTTTTTGAATGTTTCTCAGGGCGAGATTTTAGTTGTCTTTCCCGTACTCCTAATGTTTCTTATTGACCCTTTCTTGATCTGATTCCATACCAAAGATTTTTGTACCCTGCAGTTTGTATTCTCATTCACTTCAAACAATTATATAATTTTCATCACTTTTATGAAGAAGTAGAATTACAAGTGTCTGTCAGGATTTTTTTCTTCAAAATTGCCTGTATTCCAAAATCGATCCACTAATCAGCAAATTATTGGTCAATATACCCAAAAAATCATTGCAATAAAATGAAAAGAATCATAGCACGCGTCTACGATCTTAATATACTGAAGTCATTCATTAGATGTATTCAAAATGAAATCTGATTGTTCACAAGATAGTTTATTTCATATCAAATATTAACGTTCTTTGTGCGTCATATACTATTTACAAAACAAAAACACAGGTTTTTCCTAAGGATTTGGGTATCACTCATCTGATTATATTTTATCTTTTTGAGTGTTTAGGTGCACGTGAAAGTGAATTCATCTAATGCATATTGAGGGTTATTTTATGCTCGAAATTATAAAGGACTATGATAAAATAAATAACTGAGATAATACATCGAAGTGAATAATGTTCAACTAGAAAAATGAACTTCAGCATCTTACAATATCACAATATCACATGTTTTGAACAGATATACCTAATTGAAAATGCATTCATATTACGCTTTGCTTTCATGAAATTAACGTTTTTCATCACCAGAACATCCAAAATAGAACAATCAACAAGTCAAGATGATCTGAACATTATATGTCTCAGCTGAACAGATGATAAAATATATAGAATCACAACCTGACAACAATGTTTTCATTTCAATGTAATAGTATTTCCGAGAATTTAGTGCCTACTATTATGGAATTTCTGTTTCAAGTAGAATTTATGAAAATCATTAATTCACGATGAAATTTTCACGAAAATAGCGAAACTGAAAGAAAACATTTGTGGTGATGAGATAGAAAACTCAGACAAAGCTGCAACTGTAGCCCAATCTTAGACTCGATAACTGAAGTTACCGCCACACTACAACGATAATGAACATCGCAGATTGAAGCAATGACGTTACAGATATCCAGACCCATGATATCAAGACTTTACACCCCACTTTTAGCAAAAATTTTCTAATCTGAATAAATGAACGTTGAACGTTCAATCCAGTCTCAGATATACCTACACAGTAGGTTGAATGGACTACCGCCAATCAGAAAACAACTACTCCCCTGGATAATACCACGAAGGGCGTTGGATT